CTACTAATCAATTATATATATATCTTTGATGAGTAGTATTTTTAAAAAAATTAATTGACTACAATGCTATAAAGATTTGCAATCAATTAAACGTATTAATGAAGAAAATAAAATAAAAATTATTAAATTAGATTCAATGATGTTTTAAATCTTGCCCCAATCGTTAACATCTTATGACTACATAATTAGGGTTCTCAAATTTAATCGTGAACGGCTCGTGGTCGGCTCGCTAAGCAAATGAGCCGAACACGAACACACTTTTTGAGCTCGAAATATAAAGCTCGCTCGTGTTCGACTTGTTTACACGCCTACTAATAGTGGTATTTTGCCGTGAAATGTAAATAAAAATAAGTAGGTATTGGATCTGTAAGTATTTAAGAATTGCGGGGTATGTATGTAAATTGATCATCATAAATCATTGATTTTTTGTAATTTTAAATAAAATAAAGATTTTAATTTTGTAATTAGATGAAAAATAAAAAAAATATTTATTATTTATTTTCTTAATAAAAATTAGATTTAAATTTAGCTCTGCTTTATGGATTTAGGTTGGATAAATGGATCGAACCCGACCATCACCCGGACCCACGAATATCCTGTCCAGTCAGATGGGTGCTAACTTGGGTGCACTTAGACAATGACCCAACGGTCGCCACCCAATAACGCACGTCGCACGTGACCATCCGCCCCTCTCGCAGATCCGATCCTACTCGCGAATCCGACGGTCAAAATAATCCCTTCTTTTCAACCGTCCGATCCATTGGCGACGCTTTCGATGAAATATCTTGCTATTTCTAACCGTATGATTTAGATCAGACAATCAGAAACTAATCTCTGTCTCCCTTCTCGTAATTAAAATGCCGCCGTTCGAAATATTACTTCTCTCTCTCTCTCTATCTGTAGGCCGTTCACCCTCTCCCTCATTATCTGAAAGAGATGACTTTCTCTCTCTAAGTTCTCTCTCTACAGGTCCTCTCTCGGCTAAGCTCTCGCTGCGATTAGAGAGCGCAGAGAGGAAAGAGGAAGGAGAAGGGGAATGGAAGGTAAGACCTCTAAGCTAAACCGCGCGCCTTCCTCCCTTCTCCGTTCTCCAACGCTTCGCTCCTCCGTCCACAGCCTCGCCGCGCTTGATTCAGTGGGATCCGATCCGGAAGAAATCAAACCCCATTCTCCGCCTCCCTCTGCCTCGGCGGCGGCCGTTTCTGCCGGAGTCAATTCCGGCCACCGTCTCGCTTTCCTCTCCCTTCTCCTAACTCTTTTTCTCCTCATCGTCTCCTTCTTCTACCTCCGAGACCAGTCTCCTTCCCTCTGGAACCTCTCCCTTGCCTCCGCTGCGGTGGCTGCCGCCTCTTTGATCCTCAGGTGTGTGCCCCTCGGCCAACCTCGCCTCTCTCTCCCCCGCCGCCTCGGCGGCCGTAGCCGGAGCGATTCTGTGCGGTGGTTCATCGGGGACGACGAAGGTGATGAAGAGAATCCATGCCCTAAAATTGGGGCAAAAGCTGTGAGAGAAGGAGTCGAATTCTACAGCAACGGGGATTTCTACGAAGGGGAGTTTCACAAAGGAAAGTGCAGTGGAAGCGGAGTTTACAATTTCTTCGGGCAGGGAAGATATGAAGGCGATTGGGTTGATGGGAAGTACGACGGATATGGAATCGAGCGGTGGGCGAGAGGGAGTCGGTATCGGGGCCAGTATCGCAACGGTCTCCGCCATGGATTTGGGGTTTATAGGTTTTATAATGGCGATAGCTATGCGGGCGAGTGGGTCGGCGGGCAGAGCCATGGACGAGGAGTTCAGAGCTGTTCTGATGGTAGCTGTTATGTGGGGGAGTTCATGTGCGGTGTGAAGCATGGATTAGGGTTTTACCATTTCAGGTATGAAGATGATGTTTCCATCTTATGCTTACTAAAGTTTACGATTTTGCTTGAATCTTTATCTTTTGGATTGAATTTTAGTCTGTGTTCTATTGATTGAATCTTTGGTTTTTGTGAGTTGAGTATTGATTTAGATCATTCTTACTGTTTGATTGGATTCCTGGAATTGAGGCGTTTAAGAAATCAAGTGGTAGATTATAAGAGGATTTGTATACACGCCACTTAATTCTATGTATTTATATATCTAACACCACATATGCTCTTTACATATACATGAAAAAGGTGTATTTAACTTTTCAAAGGTTAAAGTAGTGGTACTTTTGATGTGATATGATTGTAAGGATTAGTATAAATGTAAAAGGTAAAGTTAAATAGATGGGAATTGATTGGTATGTTTGTAAATGTATAAGAATGGGGTGGTATGCACGTAAATCTTCCTCTAATATATCTGGTAAAACTAGATGTAAATTGATGAAGATTGAAACTTAAATCCTGCAAATTTTGATAAATTGTTTGTCTGTGTGTTCAAATATTTAGGATTTGTGAGAGGAATAAATTCTTTAGTGCTTTAAAACTTGTAAATGTTGTGGTGTAACAAATTCTTTAGTACTTTATCAAAGTAATAGGATTTGAAGTCCAGAAATCTCTGCTAAATATCTGCCTAAAATCAGATACAAACACTTCTTAAGTAATCCATCTTTTTAATTCATTTTGATCATGAAAAAAGATATTTTTGGGATAATTTCATTGCAAAAACACTTTTTTTTTTAAAATCAGAAATGGAGATAAATATGCGGGCGAGTACTTTGGTGACAAAATTCATGGTTTTGGAGTTTATCACTTCGCGAATGGCCATTGCTATGAGGGTTCATGGCACGAAGGAAGGAGGCAAGGCTTTGGGACATATACATTTAGAAGAGGAGAAGCGAGATCCGGAGAATGGAATTGTGGAACTCTTAAGAACCCTCTCCCGCTCATGGACCCCAATGTTCAACGCGCCATTCAGGTATATAAATCGACTCCTTTTGTCACTTATGGCGTGTTTTCTTTTTTTTGTATTAGGCATGTTTGTTGTGAAGTAAACTAAATGCAAAGTATTTTTCCAAGGATTTATGATACCTCCAAGTTCTCATTTTTTTGGATGGATAGTGCTTAAATAGACTCATTTGTCGGGTATAAGATGTTTTTGTTTGTCGTGTTAGGCTCGTAAAATAGAAGGAATACATGAGTTTTTGGTTTGGAAGATTTGCGTATGCACCGCTCAATTCTTAAAGTTGTCTTAGATATATAAATACATAAGAATTGGGTGGTACCTATGCAAGTGCTCCTTTTAAATGCAATGTTTTTTTCCAAGTAAGTTATGATACCCCAAAATTCTCAGTTTTTGAAGGATTTAACATTTTCTTGTGAGAAATGCGAAGCAAAACAAATGAAACGATTTAAGGAATTTAGAGTAACCCCAAAAGTTCACTTTCGAATTTCTAACAAGCTGAAAATCCAATTCAAAAGTTACATTTTTATCTGAAGTGACTTATATATGTAAAAATTAAATATATAATAAATACATAGAGATTGATTGGTATGTATGTAACTCTTTCTATCACCCAAATTTTGAGCTTGCTTTAAAAATTTATCTTTTGGATTGGATTTAAGCTTTTTAGGATTTATATATATGCCACCCAATTCTTATATATTTACATATCTAACACAGATACTTTGTTTTTTTACATTTATACCATCCAAATCTTTCATATCACATCTAAAGCGCCGCTTACTTTAACTTTAAACAGCGAAATATTCTGTGTCAATTACATATGTAAAAATTGAAGTTTAGGTATTAGATATGTAAATACATAAGATTTGAGTACTATGTATATGTAAAACCTTCCATATTTAAATTTTTCAACACACCCCAAAATCATAGGCTCATTTCACATTTCACAATCAACCAAACACTGAAAGGAAATAATTTCCACAATTTATTTTGCAACACAACAAATAATTTCAGGAAAATCAGAACACACTGTTTAATTCAACGCCTGAATCCCAAACTCTCACTTAATCTCTAACATCTTCAAAATTCTTGACGCAGTCCGCCAGAAAAGCTTCGGAGAAATCACTTCTGCTACCGCGCGTTGAAGAGCAGGTGAACAAAGCAGTTAGCGCAGCAAATAGAGCCGCCACCACGGCCAGAGTAGCCGCCATTAAAGCTGTGGAGAACCGAATGAACGGGAAGTTCTGCAACACAGAAGTCTGAAGTGAAGAACAGAATAATGAGAGTAATCTCTTCCATCTTCTAACTGTGCATATTTTAGCTTATTTTTTCTCTTCTCAATATTTTCAGTGTCTGTGATCAATCTGATCACTGTGAGTTTGAAGGCTTTAAGAAGGATGAGATTATTAAAATCCTCCTTTTCACACCAAGCTGTACATAAATCCACATTTGTGTCTTTTGAATCATAGTTTTCTTCCTAACCTCAAAGAAATGTTGTTGTGTAGAGCCTGTGGCATATATTCACTTTAATAGCTAGTTCAGCCGAACTCGGGCTGCTCACGAGTATAACGAGCTTATAAAAATTAGTTGAATTCGAGCATATTGTTCACGGGTAATTTTGAACACGAGCCGATTTAGAACCAACAGAACATGAGCCAAGTCTAAGCTTGCACAAGCCCTGCTCATTTATATCCCTCGTGCGAAGTAGGTATGTTGACTTCTTGTTCTCTTTTGTTATTGTTTAATTTTATTTTATATTCATAAGCAAGAAAATTTCTTCAAACATTGATTTGTGACATGGCCCTTAATTATTTATAATCAAAGCATTCCAAGCATGCATCTTTTGAATGCTTTTTAAAATAATAGTCTCTGCTGCCATTTTTCCTCTAGGAAAGTCACCATCAAGATCCAACTACTCCCACCTGCATTCTTTTTCAATTTAGTCTTTAAGAAGTAATAATTTTTTAGAAAATAGGCTGAATGCTTTTTTTTTTCTTTGCTTTCGTTCCAATAAATAGTAGTTTGTACAATCTATTTTAGCTAGACTAATAATACATAATAATTTGTGCAATCAATTTTAGGTAACTTAATAATACGTATTCCTAATCTAAATATTCAGCTATAAGGAGAGAATATGTACAATTAAAATAAGGAATTTAATTCAGTAATTTAAAGAAGGAAACTCTTAATCCTGCCCGATTTTAGTTATTCTTGATTGTTAAGTAATTGATTATTGCAGTTTCATCCCCTCTGACCATAGGGCTATCTTGGTCTCTATGTTTCTATTCTTTTGCCAATTGTTTTGGCTTATAACAATGCTATATTTAATTTGTTGTCATATCTGTAATTTAGTGTGGCCTCTAATCATATATAACCTTTTTTGATACTCATATTCTTAATATATTTTATTAGACTTAAAATTAGGTATATATTAGACTTAAAATTAGGTGGCTAGTGTTGAATCCTAATATGTTTGTGAATCAAGATAGGAAAGGAGAAATTGATTGAGAGATGAAGACAAATAGTAGAGTGCATAATAATGAACTGTAAATTGTTTTTTCTGTTTCATAAAATGATATCTTATTTACAGGGAAGATGGAATGATATGTGAAGTTAAATGTTTGTCCTTGCTTTAATGGGGGTGTTAAAAGATATTTTAGGTAATTTATATGAATGAGTCTATCTCAGACATGAGTTTTTGGTTTGGAAGATTTGCGTATGCACCGCTCAATTCTTAAAGTTGTCTTAGATATATAAATACATAAGAATTGGGTGGTACCTATGCAAGTGCTCCTTTTAAATGCAATGTTTTTTTCCAAGTAAGTTATGATACCCCAAAATTCTCAGTTTTTGAAGGATTTAACATTTTCTTGTGAGAAATGCGAAGCAAAACAAATGAAACGATTTAAGGAATTTAGAGTAACCCCAAAAGTTCACTTTCGAATTTCTAACAAGCTGAAAATCCAATTCAAAAGTTACATTTTTATCTGAAGTGACTTATATATGTAAAAATTAAATATATAATAAATACATAGAGATTGATTGGTATGTATGTAACTCTTTCTATCACCCAAATTTTGAGCTTGCTTTAAAAATTTATCTTTTGGATTGGATTTAAGCTTTTTAGGATTTATATATATGCCACCCAATTCTTATATATTTACATATCTAACACAGATACTTTGTTTTTTTACATTTATACCATCCAAATCTTTCATATCACATCTAAAGCGCCGCTTACTTTAACTTTAAACAGCGAAATATTCTGTGTCAATTACATATGTAAAAATTGAAGTTTAGGTATTAGATATGTAAATACATAAGATTTGAGTACTATGTATATGTAAAACCTTCCATATTTAAATTTTTCAACACACCCCAAAATCATAGGCTCATTTCACATTTCACAATCAACCAAACACTGAAAGGAAATAATTTCCACAATTTATTTTGCAACACAACAAATAATTTCAGGAAAATCAGAACACACTGTTTAATTCAACGCCTGAATCCCAAACTCTCACTTAATCTCTAACATCTTCAAAATTCTCGACGCAGTCCGCCAGAAAAGCTTCGGAGAAATCACTTCTGCTACCGCGCGTTGAAGAGCAGGTGAACAAAGCAGTTAGCGCAGCAAATAGAGCCGCCACCACGGCCAGAGTAGCCGCCATTAAAGCTGTGGAGAACCGAATGAACGGGAAGTTCTGCAACACAGAAGTCTGAAGTGAAGAACAGAATAATGAGAGTAATCTCTTCCATCTTCTAACTGTGCATATTTTAGCTTATTTTTTCTCTTCTCAATATTTTCAGTGTCTGTGATCAATCTGATCACTGTGAGTTTGAAGGCTTTAAGAAGGATGAGATTATTAAAATCCTCCTTTTCACACCAAGCTGTACATAAATCCACATTTGTGTCTTTTGAATCATAGTTTTCTTCCTAACCTCAAAGAAATGTTGTTGTGTAGAGCCTGTGGCATATATTCACTTTAATAGCTAGTTCACCCGAACTCGGGCTGCTCACGAGTATAGCGAGCTTATAAAAATTAGTTGAATTCGAACATATTGTTCACGGGTAATTTTGAACACGAGCCGATTTAGAATCAACAGAACATGAGCCAAGTCTAAGCTTGCACAAGCCCTGCTCATTTATATCCCTCGTGCGAAGTAGGTATGTTGACTTCTTGTTCTCTTTTGTTATTGTTTAATTTTATTTTATATTCATAAGCAAGAAAATTTCTTCAAACATTGATTTGTGACATGGCCCTTAATTATTTATAATCAAAGCATTCCAAGCATGCATCTTTTGAATGCTTTTTAAAATAATAGTCTCTGCTGCCATTTTTCCTCTAGGAAAGTCACCATCAAGATCCAACTACTCCCACCTGCATTCTTTTTCAATTTAGTCTTTAAGAAGTAATAATTTTTAGAAAATAGGCTGAATGCTTTTTTTTTTTCTTTGCTTTCGTTCCAATAAATAGTAGTTTGTACAATCTATTTTAGCTAGACTAATAATACATAATAATTTGTGCAATCAATTTTAGGTAACTTAATAATACGTATTCCTAATCTAAATATTCAGCTATAAGGAGAGAATATGTACAATTAAAATAAGGAATTTAATTCAGTAATTTAAAGAAGGAAACTCTTAATCCTGCCCGATTTTAGTTATTCTTGATTGTTAAGTAATTGATTATTGCAGTTTCATCCCCTCTGACCATAGGGCTATCTTGGTCTCTATGTTTCTATTCTTTTGCCAATTGTTTTGGCTTATAACAATGCTATATTTAATTTGTTGTCATATCTGTAATTTAGTGTGGCCTCTAATCATATATAACCTTTTTTGATACTCATATTCTTAATATATTTTATTAGACTTAAAATTAGGTATATATTAGACTTAAAATTAGGTGGCTAGTGTTGAATCCTAATATGTTTGTGAATCAAGATAGGAAAGGAGAAATTGATTGAGAGATGAAGACAAATAGTAGAGTGCATAATAATGAACTGTAAATTGTTTTTTCTGTTTCATAAAATGATATCTTATTTACAGGGAAGATGGAATGATATGTGAAGCTAAATGTTTGTCCCTGCTTTAATGGGGGTGTTAAAAGATATTTTAGGTAATTTATATGAATGAGTCTATCTCAGTTACGTTCTGGCTTAGTCGGCTGAGTTCGGTGGGCCTTGGTTCGGTAAGACATGTTCGGTCTGCTATGTTTAGTTAAGGTTGCTGGTCGGCCGTTGATGGACTTTGGGTTGCCAGGATTGACTCAATTTGCTAAGCTTTATTGATCGGTTGATTTAGTTTGGCTGTTGATCTTTGATTATTGGTGAGGACCTTTTGTCGGCTAAGTGATGCTAGGTTATCAAGCATAGGGTGAATCACTACAGCTTGATAGGTCGCTCACTGCCTAACTTGGAGTGTCGGAGGGATGACTTATACTTTTTGTGACATGGTTGCCTCTCGATCCCTCATAAGGAATCTCTGGGCGTCCGTGGGATGAGTGCTGGTATTGAGGACTTGAGTCAATTCTCGTGTTTGGTCTACATAAAAGCTTGTTTGCCGACTGCGATAAGCTTTCTTATGATTGGCTAGCCTGCATGTCTATCTATCTTATCTTGGTCCCATTGGTTTGGGTTCATACCACTCATCATCTTTAGTCTTGTTGACTCTCTCTCGGATGCTGCATCCGGTTGATTTTGACCTTGGCTTTGGTTCAAAATGTTACGCCTGATTATATACGTGGGCCTCATAGTCATGCCAACTGACCCTCCTTAGTTGTATTTTCTACCTTCCGACCGTTGGATCTCCTCGAGATTCATGCCAGTGCATTCCATGTACAGTTAGAATGAAAAATTGATATAATAATATCATAAGAATTTGGATGCTAATTTTCTATAACTTTAATTAGGTAAGCTATTTTTTCCCTAAGGTGAGTGACTGAACCAATTAGATGGGCTTCTATAAATTTTTTTTAGAAACATGTCACAAAATCAAATATATATGGAGAAAATTCATGTAAAAGAAAGGGCATTTACACACCAACCACCCAATTCCAATATAGGTAAAATGGCATATATGTTAAAATTGAAGTTTAGGTGTTAGATATGTAAATTTTTAAGAATTGAGTGGTATGCATGTAAATCTTTCTTTAAATAATTTATTAAAATAAAAGTTAACGTTTCTTGCAGTATTCACTAGGGGTGTAAACAAGCCCAAGCTCAGCTCGTGTTCGGCTCGTTTATATTTCGAGCTGAAAAAAGTGTGTTCGTGTTCGGCTCGTTAGCTTAGCAAGCCGAACACGAGCCGTACACGAACAAAGAGTCATTTTGACAACCCTAATCACGTAACCATAAGATGTTAAGGATTGGGGTAAGATTTAAAACATCATTTGAATCTAATTTAATAATTTTTATTTTATTTTCTTCATTAATACTTTTAATTGATTATAAATCTTTGTAGTCTTGTAGTCAATTAAATTTTTAAAAAATATTACTCATCGAAGATATATATATATAATTGCTTAGTAGTATGTCG